ACCTTTTTGTGATTTTTAAAATTAAATACAAAATAATAAAAATTAAAAATTGTATGTAAATTAAACCTAACCTCACGTTTTACATTGCTTTATGGTCTCGTTATCTGCGGTTTCAATATCCGCGCAACTTTGCTGGAACCTAACCTCCGCGGATAACGAGGGATTACTGTATAAGGTGCAAAGTTTAGAATTTAAAAGTATGAATTTTAATCAAATTTATCAAATTTTTTCTGACTGACAAATTAATATAGTGCAGTTATTCAAAACCATTTATCTGTTGCTTGCAGTGTATAGTCCCGAATTCTTCACAACTCGTAACGACCCTAAAAACCCTTACATACAAAATTATTTTTTTCAAACACCCGAATTCAACAACTCTGAAACTTGAGTATAAACTATTTTGTATGCAAAGCTCCGATTGCTTAAAATTGTACGGCCTTCGAAATTACCCGATCTTACTCCAAGTAATTCTTTTGGAGTTATATTAAAGACATTGTTTAGTGTGTTTGTAGGTACTACTATTTCCTTCAAGATATCAATCACACGAGAAGCTAAGAAGTCGACAGAGTCAATTTCAACAGATATGCTTGGAGCAAGTATGGGATGAATTTCACTATCATTTTATTTTATGTATCAACTATTATTCTAAACCTACAAACTTAGAATATATTTAACCATTTGAAACCGGATGAATCATTTTGAATATTCTGTAATATGTATTCAATTTTTGCTAACGAAACACCGCAGTACGCAAAACGTTTTCAGTTTGTAATATTTTGTTTTAAAATGCATTAAATGTCCCCCAAAAAAATAAAAAATACTAGATGCCTTCACAAATGTTTATAATATATATATTATATAAGATTGTGTACATATCATTGGTTTATACTTTTTGGATAAGTAGTAGAAACATAACGTGATTGTACGCGGTTCTATTTAATATTTTAATGTATTGATAATAGTAAATTGTAAAAGAAAAAATAAACAAGAATAATCCACGGGGAAAAAAAACAAACTTTTCCAGTATGTATTCAATAATTACATAATATACTATATTATATAACCTTGATCCTTCGTACCTTTTACAATTCACAATTATTTTTATTTGAGTGAATAATTTCCATTTTAAAATTTATGCTAAATCTATCTATCACACTGAAATACAAAATACACTGGAGAGTGGAGACAAATGAGCGCAACTGAAAGTATTTTATATACCAGTTTATAGCTACACTTTAAAAGAACATTTTAAGCTAAAATACTAACAAATTTCATAAAATTAATAAAAAAATAATATAATTCTTATAAATTTAAATTTTGTAGGTATTACACTATTACCTTTAAAATTAATTGATTTTATGTCTAACAATTAAATTGCATATGCCCCCACAAACAGGATGATTTTTTTTTAAGTAAAATAGTTAAAAATCTATTATCATTAGTCATTACCTATTTCCAAAACTGTTAACACTTTTTAAAGTAAAAAAATCAATAACTTAAGTTTCAGTTTTAGTGTATAACGATGTATAAGTACGTCTTATGGGTTATAAGTTATAACTTATATACAAGACTATAATATATTTAAGTCTACTATAAAATTCAATAGTTTTTTTGTTATTTATTACTATAGACATGTAAAACAGTTTAGATAACCGACTATAAGTATATTTTTAATCAGAGAGTTGAAGTCGGAGAATCGGAGATCTAAGGAATATATTATGGCAATAATTACCAGATTATAATAAGATATTATATGATCGTGAATAACAATTGATTAGATTCCAAAATTGAAAAGTAATGATTAAATTTAAGATTATTTAAATCTGTTACTTATCGGTTTTAATATATTGTGAACATTGACGAACCTTTTAGGATAACCTTTATGGGCATATTTCCGCTCAACTTAATAATAATATAATAGGATATAATGGGCTAGTAGATAGTGAGTAGATAATCTGAGCTGTATAGTTATTTTATGAATATTGTTTCACAGCGGGTTATATATTATTAATTTATTCTGATTTTTGGGTTCCGAAAAAAAAGCAATGATATAAAATCTTATATTAGTCATTATATGAATAATGTATATCAAATTTGTATTTAATTAATTATCTAAGTAATGTATGTAATACTAGTAATGTATAATGTTCAAAAACTGAATATAATTAATTTATATAGATGAATATGTTTCTTTTGTTTCCCGAGACTATTTTTTCTGAGATTCAAAAATAAACCTATGAACAATTTTTATCGTGTTACTCTATCTGCGCGACGTTATCGCGAGACGATGACGAATCTCCTGAGTACAGACAAATGAAAATAGTCGTCGTAGTAAAAAAACAACAAACAGCAATATATTACACACACTGACGGTGTTTTGGTGGACTTTCAAAACAAAAATGACTCATCCGACGACGTTTTTGCGAATATACAGACGCGAATGATATTATTATATCTCTCGCGAGGTTAGGGTTTTAATAAAGTTTATCCGGGTTGAAGATTTATCGAAAACGATGACGACCAATTTAATTACACTCTAGTCTGATTAATCAAATACACGGAGAGTTAATGAGTTTATCAGCGAATATAAGTATGAAAAAAAATAAGACGCTGAGGGCTTTTTGGAATTATTTTTCATTCGAAATCAGGAACGCGCAGGTAAGATAATATGGCACGTGACGTCTAATTCGCCGAAAACTGCTCTTATAATTAACACGAAATCGTATATAATATCAGAATAATATACTATGTACAAAATACATAATATTTATACTACGCAGTACGCGTACTACCATCGCCCTCACACCTTCTCATTCACAAAACCTATCGCTTTCTCGCTCACTCTCTCTCTCTCGACGAATAGTTTTAATTGCCATGCATTAACTAGTTGGATTGAATCATTATAATATTATACGAGAAAATTATTATTTACATACATATTATTGTGATCTCGTGATTCGAAGAGAATTAACTGTAGCCGCATCATAATGTAATTTCTATACACACACGCGCACACACGCGCACACACACACACACACACACACAACATAATACATTGAACACTAGCATTGTATTATGCACAAGCACAATGCGCAATATTATCGTCCGATGAAAAATCGATCGTAACAGAACTATAATATTATTTTGTTCAACAGCCGTGACAACGATTAACTTTTCATTAACATCGTGTTTTGCACTACCTAAGTATATTAATAATAATACTCAGTATTAGTTGAAGAAACTTTATTCTCGACTCGTCTATAAAGTAGTCAGGGACCGTGTGCCGTACCTCCGCCATTCAAACATAGATTTAATAATAATACACTCTACAAGTCTCAAATAATATGTATACTACCACTACTTTACTGCAGTTATAATAATATAATAATATCGTGGCAATTTTATATCATAATTTTTAAAGACCAGATCTTAGATTGTTTTCGTCCCGGCTCAAAGTATTATAGCATCGCAACAAAATCTAGCATTCGATATCATGATGGAGATTGTCCCCGTGTAGATAGCTGCATGGATAATAATATTAAAGAAATTAAATATATAATTAACAAGCAAGATTAAACATGTCAAGTGTGCTTACATTGATAGTGTTAGAATCTTTAAAATTAAAAGTTTCTGCTCAAATACTATCTTTATTTTTTAGTAGAGCGAATAATCGAACGTTCGGTCCACACAGTTAGGGTGCATGATTTATAATGCATAATATATATATAGAAATATAAAATTCCAAACAAATAAAAATCGTACACTGTCGCAATGTTGGCATTATACGGACTATGATTCGAATTTATAACATATAATTAAACTTAAGTACCTATACACCTATTAAACTTCCTACATTTTCAAAATACAAACATTCATTGGAGAATTTGCCAATAGGTACCTACTAATAAAGGATAGAGATTAAGAAATATTGATGTTAAAGCATATACAATTTGACAAAGAAAACATTGAGCGAAAAATTAATCATACTCAAAAATGTAAGAAGGCAACCATTATTAATTTTGTTTGGCTATTTATTCAGAGAAATGTCAACGCAATAATTATTTTCTCTCAGACCCACGCACAACATAAATAAAAAGATTTTACCTAAAATTGTTTTTAATAATTTTTGAGTAAAATCGCCTATTATAAAAATTATAAAGGATAATATTTTATTGCATATGACACATATATTTTGATGGGTGATTTTACTCAATATAACATTACACAAAAATAAAAAACAAAAAATAAAATTATTCCGCGGAAATACGTTTTGTCTAGTTACGCGTGGACTAAAGAAAAAAACAAACAGCGCGCTGACATCCTCTTATAAAAAAAAAAACGATTAAGCCATATTCAGATGGTAATTTATCAGAACTCAATAAATATATTATATATTTGATACAATTTATGAATTTTAAGTTTTAGATAAAATCCTAATAATCTTTTATCATCTTAGAGTAAATTTTCCCTGTACACAGCTTATTCAAAGTTACAAGTACCTATATAACATTATATAAAATTATATGTATCTTATAATAATTGTCGACTTTTTAAAAAGCGCCGTTGAATATAGCACAAACAAACGAACTACAAATAAATACGTCAATCGCTTTATTATGTACTTATTCATTACAAAAAATAACGATTATGTTAACTATATAGGAACTGTTATCAAATCCTTGTTCGGTAGTCTAATGCGCGGGGAAAAGTAATCGTTTGGACTCGCAAAAAAACGCTCCTTCCCAATAATAAATATTAATTTAATTTACGCTTTTGGTGTGAAATTTTTTTACACTGTCGTGAGGTTCGTCATCGTCACCATCATAATCATAGTCGTCTCATTATAAATTATTGATTGGAAAAAGGCACAGTCAACGATAAAATTAAAATAATATAACTTATAGTACACGACGATGATAATTATGATGAAGAGGACGTAAACCACACTAAAACTAAATATTTACGTAAAATAATGATAAAAAATATAAAATATAAGTCACCTCAACCGTTTGGCTTCGTCGATGAACGGCCGTTTCTGGGGTTCGGTAAGGAGCTTCCACTCCGCACCCAGCCGCTTGCTGATCTCTGAGTTGTGCATCTTTGGGTTTTCCTGAGCCATCTTACGCCGCTGTCCCCTGGACCACACCATGAACGCGTTCATGGGTCGTTTGATGTGCTGCTGCTGTTGTGCAACTGCTGCGGCTTCCTGGACGCCCGCAGCCACGGCTGTAGCCGTACCACTATGATGTTGCTGCTGCTGCTGCTGCTGCTGTTGCTGCTGTTGCTGCTGTTGCTGCTGTTGTTGCTTTTGCTGCTGTTGGTGGTGATGATGCATTTGTTGTTCGTGTTGAGCTCGGTGCTGCAGGTGCTGCTGCAAGTGTTGGTGTTGCTGCTGTTGGTGCTGGTGATAGGCCGCGGCTGCGGCAGCGGCCGCAGCGGCGTGATGGTGATTTAGCGCCGGTGACTGATGTTGGTGCAACATCATCGCGGCCGCGGCTGCTGCAGCCGCTGCTGCTGCGGCGGCCGCGTTGGCCGCAGTGGCCGGCGGCGTGGTGGTCTTGCCGTTGCTCATGACCTGCACCGGCCGTGAAAAGCTGAGACGTCCGGTGGGCGGCAGTGGAATTTTGTGGTGACGGTGAAGCGTGTGGAATGTGCCGGCTAAACGGGCAGACGGGTTGCCGCTTAGTAGACAGTAAATGCACGCACGGCCGATCAGCAGCTGCAGAGGGCCGCGCGTCACGGTGTCCGAAATGCGTGTGCTGCACACGCGGCGGCACGCGGTGGCGGTGGCGGCGCCGCCGGTCGTCCGCGGCGCCCCGCCAATGGCGTACCGCCACCGTTCCCGCCTCTTATCGACCGCCAGCCACTTTCCCATTGGTCCGTTCGTCAGTCGCCGCCGCCGCCGCCGCCGCCGACGTCGCAGCAGTCACCGGCAGTCGTCGCCGCCGACGTATTTTTCCGTTCAACTATATACGAAGATGATGATGATGCAACCGAGACGCAACAAGTATGTGTGTGCGTGCTGCACTGGTGAGCGAGGTGTTATGTCGTACGTAGAATAGGCAGATGCAAATTGACAGATCTAAACGTACAGTGTTGTAGGTAAACCTGCAAGAAAAAAAAATCAAATTCAAATTTCATTGACTTATCACAAAAAAAAAAAAACTTTTTTTATAATTATTACTAGGTGCCCATTGTTATTACTTATTAATATGGCCAGGATTTGAATGCAAAATGCATCATTCTGCAAGTACAAAATCCGTTTCATATACATCATAGCATTGAAAACTTTTATTTTGAATATTTTATAATTTTTAGGTTGTTTTGTTAATTTTTAGTGCACATTACTTTGGTCATATTAGTAATATATAATAAGACAGTAATAATATGAGTACATTAAATGCATTTTTAGATTTAACTTAATTGGTATAATTCAACAAAATAGCTCATACAATTTTGTTTCGTCCATATTTTATCATTAATAATCGAAACAACGAAACATCGTTCTTTTAAGGTTCTATTTATGTTTCCGATACGTCGATAACGTCTTTAGCTACCTATCTACGATGCGATTAACGGCGGTTGTGCGTTCGTGACTCAAAACATAAATGTCTATAATATATATAGTGGTCAGTTGGTGTCGTTAAATTGTAATTATTTCGTAAAGTTCGTATTTTCGTTTGTCGAAGATGCGTTAACAGCAAACAATATTGTGATTTAAATGCATTTTTTTATAAAATTTACTGCAACATTTTAGAGCATTTAGGATAGTATTTCTAAGGCATTTAAATCCTGGCACAAGTTATTAGTTATAATAAATTATTATAAGTATATGTGAGCTTTTTGGAGGATATTTTCAAATTAACAGAGACGCAGATGACACAATCTGACATACATCCTCCGATACTCGTATAGGTATATCTATTTTATAGTTACCTATACGTATATATTAAATAATTATTATTGCTGTGTTATTAGGAAGATTTTGTCTGTTGCTGTACGGTGATTTTATTTCGTGACAGATTATATATAGGTATACTATAGACACTTAATTATAACATTTTAAAATTGTTTTCTTATGATTCCCTTTTAAGTACCATCGCATATTTCCATGTTTATGCAGTATAATATACCTTTTGAGTACAACAATATTGTCATGAACCAATTTAACATAAAAACTTAATAATAATATAAAACGAAGAGGACAAATAATTCACTATCGCAGTAATAATAGGGTACCTATAGTAGAGTTCCGTTTCTGTCCGTATATCTATGTATCTGAATGTTAGTTTCAGATGTAGATTGGTATAAAATCATAATAATATCTAGAATTTCTTATTCCTAAAATGTTAAATGAGGCAAAATCTTAAGTAAAATATAAAACGAATTGTGTTCACTAAAATATCAGAAAGTTATAATCGCAATACATCTAAATAAGTCACACAAACATAGTCTAATTACAAGTCATGTCCGATGCACGGCAGTGGACCCCCGCGTGAGTACACAATCATGCGGTTAATTGCAGTGATGCTTATATATTTTTCTCTTTTTATATTTGTAACACCTATTTGTATTCATTATATTTTGTTCTTAATTTAACTCTTGTTTAATGTTTTCTATTCCTATAAATTCGTTCAAATTAGATACATATACTAACAAAATGCGTTTACTTAAAAAACAGAAATGTACTCATATTATATACTGCGAATAATTAGTATACTTCCAAACAACTATAACAATTTTAAAAAAACACCAACCAATGCATTCACCAATTGTATACATAATATACATACATACCTAACGTGTAATCAATTTATTCAATCTCTGATAAAAAAACACAAAAGTATAGCTGTCTTCAGCAGATACATTTAAAAAATTACGTTAAAATATAGTACATTTATACATAGGCAATTCATTCCCAAATCAGTCAATTAACGCATATAAACATAATAATATTGTACCGTCTATGGGTTCCTAATACTGTATACATTTTGTCAAAGAATTCATAAACATACCTATATTAAAAATTAAAATCGAACATTCCGGAGTATGTGTAGTTTGCCCCAGCTTATTATCTAAAACTTATGAAAAATACGTATGCTTTGATCCCCTTAAGTTAATCAACTTGAAGCAAATATATACTATATTATTATAGTGTCTATAACTATACTGCAGGAAGATCAGTAATTAGTACTTATGTCTAATTACATACATCACGTAGATCGTATCCGTGTTTATTGTTCTTAATTTTACAATTTGTAAATGATCTTAATCATATTTTTTAATAACAAAAAATTATTTCGTTTCAGTAATTTTTTAATGAAAATCAAAATATTAACTTATATAGCAATACACATTTATATCCTAATATTGACAAATACCTGTTGGTAGCAACCGGAAAGTCGTTAGTCAAGTTGGTTTTATTTTACTCGTTATAGCCGATAACTCGTAATAACCATACTCATTGTAGACGTATATTTTAACAATCACATTATGGGCTCGTGCCCGGGACCTATAGCGTTTTGCTTGTTGTAAGCAGTATCTCGTTCTAAGCGATGCTTGTTATAGTGATTTCTACTGTATAATATGTATTTCTACCCAAATAATATAATAATACATGCACAAGCCAAACAATATCTCTAGATGTATTATATGGGTTTACAAATTAATCTTTTTAGATCAAAAATAAAATGTCAATACACTAATTAGTAATTACAATTTAAACTTCAGGTATAAGAATATACAGTCTCTTAAAGTACCAAATAAATCCAAAGACCATTTTTCTACTATAATATTTCTATAATAAGAACCATCATTGTAAAACCAATACATATTTTTAGCCCCGCTAAGAATGAAAAAATAATAATCTTTTTTTGTAACTATAATGTTGTATGAGCTTATAAATATTTTATAAAAACGTTTGAATAATTAAATTAGCTTACATTGGATACGATCACATGGTACAATATTCAAAGAGCATAACTTTCCGCACACCCAATATTCTTTATACCTATATACACTTATTATACTTAATCTAATAACTTTAATTTGTATGAATATTTAAATATTTAGATCGCAAACAAGACACTCCAGAATACAAACGTGTGGGATGCACAAAACAATTTTTTCAAATGTGTACGAGGTAGCGATGACAGCATGACACAATGATATTTCGTAAATACAATACTCCGGATGATGCAGATAATAGGAATACAATAAGGGGTAATGTACCGCGTTTATTAACAACAATGGCAGCAGTCTACACGTCCATTAGAATATTTTTTAAGTTAACTTAATCAAAAAAGTTCAGTTCACTTCAGTTTCTATAGGATCAAAACTAAAAGAATATTCGTGTGGACACAACTTGAAAACATTTAGTTTATTAATTATTTTAATAATATTTAACATAATATAGTATGCTTATTAAAGATTTAATTTGTCTTTTGCCATTTTTCTCGGTAAAAATTCTCAAACAACAGCGATTTGATGAAACATTAACAAGTGATACGATAATACATCTGAAAATGTACCTATTTAAATTTGTTATGATCGATATTTGATCTCTGAAATAGTGTTTAAGACTCTACTCGTCACGCAATGACTTAACAAATTAAACAATTATATATATTATAAAATATACGTATACATTTCTTAAAAATATTAATAACCCTACAAAGGATACATTGGAAGGAAATCTGAAACGAGTGCACATGTTGTTTATCGGTTGATATTATGTACGGAAAAATGTAAATAGAATGAATAAAAAAAAGGGAGTAAGATGACGCGTATGGGATGTCGAGAGGGTGACAAAATACTTAGTAGACCCTCCTAATAATCACATTCACGGGCCCTCCGAGGCTCTTAAATAAAGTGTATATTTACTCTATATATACTCGTACATGTATATTTTCATTGCTTCCATTGAATTTGAATTTTAGTCTGATTTCTGACACACATATTGTTATTCAAAATAGTCACGACCTATTGTGTCACTTAAATAATCACACGGAGAAGAATGTAATAATTACAACTATGAATAGGTGCCGTTATATTTTGATCGATTGTTTATAATTATTACATTGAAGTGAATTGACGATGTTCGTTTTGAGAATAATAAAACAATAAAGAACCCTCCGAACGTTGAAATTTAAATTAACAAGGTACAACATGTCACACTAGTACGAATGGCAAAAAAAAAACGAAGATTTTAAATACCTATTCACAAATTCAATTTAAAACAATCGAATTTTACGGTGGTCAATTTTTGTTGTATATTTAAGCTGATCTGTAGGCATCATAGATTCATAGAATTATATCAGCTTAAATCAAACAATTCAATATTCCAATGACCAATCATTAACACATTACCATTTAAGGGAATTTTATTTTAATGAAATATTCTGATAATACAAAGATAATTGTTTGGTAAAAAATAATTATAAATAATTTAATAAAAGAAATGTATTTGGATATTTCGTTAAAGCACACAATAATTTTTGTTAACCGTCAGTCGGTCGCATCGGCGTAGAAATACATGAAATAATACGTCAAATAAAAATAACAAGATAGTTTGAAATAGTACGAATATGATAAAATAAGTACCTACGTTATTTGATGCGAACGTGAGCAATCGCATAAGAGCTAGAGCACTCGGCAACTAATCCTACCGATGTCGTCCGAAAGGGGTACGGCAGATTTTCGAAAAATAATCAACCAAACAAAATTTATATATATAAAAAACTTACCTTGCCAGCTGTGTGCTTCATATCTGGCAGATATTAAATTTAGAACTCTATCATTCAAGTACTCCAACGTATAATCTTAATCGACAAATTAATTATCTGATTACGATAGATTGACGACACACCATATAGTGTGTGAGCACTGAACAGTATTGTACTTAGTAAGACGTATTTAGTTCCCGTGTAAGCTCGAAAATTAATTTTACAAAAACTTATACTAATTAAGGTGTTTGCGCATTTTAATAAATGGACAAAAATATGGGTTTTTAATAAAAATGACCAGTGATAATATGTCGTTGAGGTGTGCAGAAAAAAAATGTTCTTCTAGAATAGAGATAAATACATTTATAACTGCATAATTGTTTG